TCCATGCACCAATAAAACTATATAATCTCACAAAACCGTTGATTTTCAACTGAATTATTGATAATTTTTTACACTTGTAGTATGGCAGTCGGTTGACTTCCAAAACACTTCATTTTCAATGGAGCCTTTTGCCTAATCAGGGAGGTATATACCAACAATTAAGTTCTTCCATGCACATGGACAACAAATCATACAAGTACACTAGGCATATAAAAATGGTTAAATGCCAAATTTTAGTCTCTAAACTTTTAATTTTAAATATTTTTAGTTTTTATATTTTTTTCGTTTTTAAATTATTAAAAATATACTTTTTAATCATACTATTATTTAGTCTTTTTTTATTGGATTATTTAGTCTATTAAGTCTATTAATATATGCATATTTTTAATTCTTAAATTTACTTAATGACTGAAAATGTATATATGTTAAGAGACTAAAAATATAAATATTTAAACAGATTTAAAAGATTAACTAATAAATGTATTAAAAATGTATTTTTCATAATTTAAAAACTAAAAAAGTGTAACAAAATAATTAAAGAACTAAAAAAATTTTAAATTAAAAGTTCAAGAAGTAAATAAAAGTGGCATTTAACCTATAAAAATCCCTTACTTGCGTGGGTTTCATTCTTCTAGTCATCCTTTGCACTGTAAGCAAGAGTTTAATTTATGCATTGCTGGAATCCAAATTTCTCCTTAATTGCAATAGGTTTTCTACTTGTCTTCGTACTAGATTCCTCAGGAGCGTACATATTTTCTTTTGGAAAAAGGAATAATTAGAACATTTTAACATTAAAAATATCATAATATCTAATAATAATTACATAATAAATTTAATAAAATTGTGATTCACTTTATATTTTATAATTTTTAATAGTTATAATCAGATATTATTAATGTCAAGACGTTTTAATTTTCATTTTGTTTTTATTTCCTTTATATTTCAAAGTTTTCCTTCCTCCTACAATGGTGTAGTATGTTTTATCTTTCACAATTGACACCATACAATTCCCCTTTTTATACATTATAGAATTCTAACTTCTCCTGAATCGTGAAAAAGTTCAAAATATCAGTGCTATACATCTAACATCAGTTGCGTTGCATTAGGATCTAGATCGGTAGGGGGTGATTGATCGAACTTTATTGGGACTAAAAATGAAAAATTGCGAGTCGTGTAACCTTGGCAATCTCCAGCTATGTGTTGCTTGATCTAATGAAAAGTCAACTAAGCAGTGACATTAAGAACTCATCCAATGGATCTCATCTGACTTCAAACCGACTAAGTGGGTCCTGATGTCCTGTAAATGATGACATGAGCCAACCTTGGGGAGGTTTTTCCAGATAAACAGAAGATAAAAGAAAAACAAAATCTACCCAATCAATAATGATAGTGAAGTCCACTCCCATTATTTTTTGCGCCGAATATGCTTGAAATGCTTATATATTTGAATCCTTTCTCTCCTCTTTCTATCTTGTCTTGACTCCACATAATTTCCAACGCATGCATTTCTTTTTTAATCTTCTTTTAAATTCGTTTCTGGGTCTTCATAATATGCACATTCCTTGGCGTGCTCAAGTCATATAATTTCTTTCTCCTCCTCAAAATATATTCAAGGAAAGGAAGAAAACATTTGTAAGAACATCTTGGTATAGAAGAAGAAGAAACCATGGAGGAGACATTTGTGCCGTTTCGCGGCATTAAAAATGATCTTAGAGGAAGATTGATGTGTTACAAGCAAGATTGGACCGGTGGATTCAGAGCAGGATTCAGGTATATGCTAATTTAATGTTTCTTTGTTTGCAACTTTTGTTCAGCGAAAAATCATAATCCTTGCATCTTTATGCTTGATCCTTTATCATATATAAAACTTATTTTTGTAGGATTCTGGCTCCCACCACATATATTTTCTTTGCTTCCGCAATTCCAGTCATTTCATTTGGCGAACAACTTGAGAGAAATACAGGTATTTTTCACATACGCAGACTTTCTAGATATATAATTGGTTGAATCATATATTTCGTTTCATTTTCAACTTTTCCATCATCTCAACTGAACAGTGGGGTGAAAAAAAGGGAAGATTTTTCCCATTTGATCAGTTTAATTTCTTACATGAAATCTGACTTCAGATGGAGTTCTGACTGCTGTTCAGACCTTGGCATCCACGGCCCTCTGCGGGATCATTCACTCCATCATTGGAGGTCAGCCTCTTTTGATTTTAGGAGTAGCAGAGCCGACAGTCATTATGTACACATTCATGTTTAACTTTGCTAAGGAAAGATCAGATTTGGGTCGGAACCTCTTCCTTGCCTGGACAGCATGGTAAGCCTTTTCCTAGGATTTTTCCCACCATTGTCAAAGAAGCCCAGCTCTGTTTTGACAGAATCTGTCTGGTTTTTTTGAACTGATGCAGGGTCTGTGTATGGACTGCATTCCTGTTGTTCTTACTTGCTATCTTGGGAGCTTGCTCTATAATCAACAGATTTACCCGAGTTGCGGGAGAACTGTTTGGTCTGCTTATTGCCATGCTCTTCATGCAACAAGCTATCAAAGTAAGAACACCTCCTTTCAGTTCACTTCTTAGAAGAAATACCGGTGTTATCAATCTCACTTTTGAGAATTTTATATGTATGTGATTTCCAGGGCCTTGTGGATGAGTTCCGCATCCCTCAACGTGAAAACCGAAATTTGACAGAATTTCTACCTTCATGGAGGTTTGCCAATGGCATGTTTGCTCTAGTTCTGTCATTTGGACTTCTGTTCACTGCTTTGAAAAGCAGGAAAGCAAGGTCATGGCGGTATGGTTGCGGTAAGTACTGTTGCCTTTTCAATTTGGATTCTTCTGAAGTTTAGAAATTCCAATCTTGATCACCTTTTATCCTTCTGAGTACTAAAAAGGAAAGACTTTTACAGGTTGGCTTAGGAGCTTTATAGCAGACTATGGGGTGCCATTTATGGTTCTGGTGTGGACAGCTGTGTCCTACATTCCGTCTGGAAGTGTTCCGAATGGAATCCCCCGCCGCCTCTTCAGCCCAAGTCCGTGGTCGCCTGGCGGCTATGAGAATTGGACAGTTGTTAAGGCATGTTAATTTCATTGAAGTTACCAAAAAAAAAATTTTTTTTTCTGCTTGAACAAGATTATAACTGAAATATATGAATTTCAAAATACCAGGAGATGCTAAATGTTCCGGTCGTGTACATAATCGGAGCCTTCATCCCGGCAACAATGATAGCAGTGCTTTATTACTTTGACCATAGTGTAGCATCCCAGCTTGCTCAGCAGAAAGAGTTCAATTTGAGAAAACCATCTTCTTACCATTATGACTTGCTCCTTCTGGGGTTCTTGGTATGCAAAATTCCTACTATTTTCTGCCAAATTTTCATCGCTTTTTTTAGTTAAATATCAGTTTTGGTCCCTCAACTTTAAAATTTTATAGAATTTTCATTCCTTAATTTTCTTATACACTTTTTTGGTCCCTTAACAATAAAAAAAAAAAAAAATTAGTTCTTCCGTCAATTAATCCGTTAACCTATCTGAATATACATATTTTTAGTCCCTTAATTTTTAATATATACATATTTTTTATCCATCAACTTTAAGTTAAAATACAAAAAATATGTAAATTTAAATAAACTTAATAAATTAACTGACGAAAAAATTAAAAAATATATTTTTCATAATTAAGAAATCAAAAAAATATATAAAAAAGTTAGGAAATGAAAATTATGTAAAACTTAAAAGTTGAGGGGCTGAAATTAGAATTTAACTTTTTTTTTCTTTGTATTGATTGTTTTCTTGATGCAGACACTGTTATGTGGCCTTATTGGAATCCCTCCTTCCAATGGAGTCATCCCACAATCTCCTATGCACACCAAAAGCCTGGCCACATTAAAACACCAGGTATTTCAATCTTCAGAGACCTTAACATCAAACTTTTAATTTGTTTAAAGGTTTGTCTAACCTATACTCTAAAAGCAAATGTTAACACTTATTAATTATGGTATTTTTAATTA